GCCTTTACCTTTTTCCTCCTCGGTCATATTTGAATGAATTAATTGTAATAATTATAAAAATAAAGCCAACAATACATGTTTCATTGTATTTATACGAATATATATGTAATTATTAGCATAATTAACATAATAATTACTCCCTTCGTCCCATTTTATTTGTTTTACATTCCTTTTTAATTTGTCGCAAAATGTTGTCCTTTTTACAAAATTGAACATCACAATCATTCTACTTTTATCAATTTATCCTAATGAGTTTTGCATTCTTTAATTTGTTGCTTTTATTTCCAAAAATGAGAAAAGATAAGGTATAATTGGAAAACACACCGCATTTACTTTAGATTCTTAAAAAGTGTGCAAAAAGTAAATGTGACAACCTATTTGGGACAGAGGGAGTACTAGTCAATTATACTAATATCGGTGTAATTAATTCTTTAATTATCATAATTATTATTAGGAAATTATAATAATATTGTGTAATTATACTTTTATACATTAAGTATAAAATTGTATATAGAGAGATTTATAAAATTACCATAGTAATTACACGGAAGAATATGAATGCTAATTCATTTTGTTCTCATAGTATTACATCTTTTATATATATATATATATATATATATATATATATATATATATATATATATATATATATATATACATACATATATATATATATATATATATATATATATATATATATATATATATACAATAAAATTAATTGAAATAAAAAAAAAATCCAACTACCCATATTTAATTGAAATTATACAAATATATGTGTAATTATTAACTTAATTACAATAATAATTAGTGGGCAATTATACAAATATTTGTGCAATTGATTTCTTAATTACTATAATAAATAAATATTAGGTAATTATATTACTATTGTGCAAGTATACTTTTATACTTAAGTATTAATAAATAAATAAATAAATAAATAAATAAATATATATATATATATATATATATATATATATATATATATATATATATATATTGATTATCAAAAATATAATTATAATTAAAAAAATCTAATAACCCATGTATAATTGTAATTATACTATTATTATAGTAATTATTAGCTTAATTACCATAAAAATTATTAGTCAATTATACTAATATACGTGTAATTATTTCTTTAATTATCACAATAATTATTAGGTAATTATACTAATTTTGTGCAATTATACTTTTATACCTTGTCTGTGTCTCTCTCTCTCTCTCTCTCTCTCTCTCTCTCTATATATATATATATATATATATATATATATATATATATATATATATATATATATATATATGTTTAAGTTCCCGTGTGGCCTTGCAGACACGCACCATTAGGTACGCATAAATGCACCACAAAATGTTCAAAAATGCACCATTGGATGTGGTGTATTTGTTGGGTGCGTGGAGCATTTTGTGCATTTCATTCTTGTGCATTTCCGAACACTGTGTGATGCATTTATGCATTCCTAATGGTGCAATCCGCACCGACCTCACGAGAAACACTGTTGTTATTTGAAACTGATAATCTAAATGAGAATTTCTATTTTTAAAAGCTTTTCAAATCTCCACAAAATTTGATCTCCATTCATATTCTCAACATCCCAAGAAAGCTCCTTAATTATTATCGTTTGTTGCTTGCCTCCCCCGTACTACTGCTTTTTCACGCTGGTGATAGCGGCGTCCTCGATCGGGGACGGTGACGTAGGATATCGGGTTGTAGTTTTGGCGACGACATCGTTGATGGACTTGTACGGTACTATGTTGGACATGACCCACTCGTCGGTGAATGATTGGTTATCCACTGCAGAGGATTGCTCTTCGTTGGGAAGTGCGACTGTAGTTCATATACCTGACCCGGAAAGCACATCGAGAACCATGCAGTCGGCGTCATAGAGCTTGACTCGGACGATTCCCTTACTCTTGAGCAATGGAACACCCTTCGTCAGAGAAGGAAGCTCATCAGTGACTCGGCCGTAGTTGATTCCGATGAAGCTGAAGTTGGAGGCAGATTGACGTAAGAAAAAGAGAAAGGGAGAAGCAAAAATACAGATGGCATAAAATCTTGGAAACACCATGCTTGAAGGAGAGAGAGAGAGAGAGAGAGAGAGATGAACGTAACGCTGCTGGAAATTATGGAATTTCCGACCACCTAAAGTGACCTTAAATCAAGTCGAAACAAAAACTGGTCGGAAATAGCAACAAAGACTTTTTCGGATACCAAAAGTGGTTGGAACAAAGCTTTCAACTTGATTTAAGATCACTTTCAGGTGGTCGGAAATTCCATAATTTCAAGCAGTGTAAAGACTGCATTGACATTAGCTTCTAAGCATTTATATAGAAATTAACGAAGAGAAAGAGGTGAAAAAGGTAAGAAATTAATCGAGTTGGGGGTGGGGGTGGTTTAGGAAATTTGGTTGATTAGTGGGGTGGCATGATGGTAATATATATATATATATATATATATATATATATATATATATATATATATATATATATATATATATATATATATATATATATATATAACATTGTGCCACCGCATTTTTTTAAAAAAAATTGCTTCATTCTGAACGTTGAATTGGACCCTATTTTTCACCCAGGCTTCTTTGTTGATTTCTGGTTGAGAGCTCGATTAGCTTGTCCCAACTTGGCTGTTGTCGTATGTCCCTTGGCTTTGCCAAAGATCACTTCATCCAACATCTTCGTAATTTCGTTCTTGGCATCATTGTCAAGTTTGGCAAGGATGTGGTATTCTTTAGGCTATTCTCCATAGGTTTTGGAACCCTTATTGGCCTTGGAGGTAGAGGTGGAGCTTCTTCCTGCTCATGTGGTTAGTGGCATCGTGTCGATCTTTTCGATCTTTATTCCCTTGGTTTTTACCACATATATACCACATCCTGAGATTTATAATAGAGTCTTGTCATGCATTCTTTAAAATCATCTTGAGAATAATTAAGGATAAGATCGATACTTTTATGCATTTGAAAATTTGAAGCTACAAAGAAAATATTTATTTTTAAAAGCTTTAACCAGATCTGCTTGGTGTGTCCAAATTAGTTAATATGTTAAACAATCGCTCTGATACCACCTGTTGGTCCTTAGCAAGAAAAAGTTTATAAGGGGGAGGAGGTGGGGGAGGGGAGGGTTGGGTGTTGAATAGAATTTTAACAATAAAAGAGTTAAGGAAATTAAAATTTCCTTGCAGTGGAAGTCCTTAGCAAGTAAAAGTTTATAAGGGGGAGGAGAGGGTTGGGTGTTGAATAGAATTTTAACAATAAAAGAGTTAAGGAAATTAAAATTTCCTTGCAGTGGAAGTCTTAAATTAAACTTGCCAAGTTTTGCAACGAGTGAAAGTGTGAAATTGAGTATGAATGGTTAGTAATAGGAATAAAATATAAAGCGAGTAAAGTAAAAGAGAGAGAGCAAAATTTTTATAGTGGTTCGGAAAATTTTTCTAATGTACTCTTAACTTTTACTTATAACCAAGGAGACATTTCACTATGTATTTGATAGGGAATATACGCTTGGGTTTGATACCTGTACACCGACCACTTGTTCAATATTTGACCAGGTGGTCAAAAGAGATACCTCCCGATCTCTTACCGACCTTTTACCTACCCGACCCGACTTGTCATAAAGCGCCGGGCAAACACTGAGTTGGCACCCCCATCATTTTGGGTTGGGACAAGACACCCGACCCCTAACACTTAGAACGCCAAAAGAGCGACTGCTTCAGCTAAACCCAACGGTAAAAAAGGTGAAGTCATCAGGAACATTAGTGCACGTGGAGAGATCAGCAAGGCTACCACCGGTCTATCCCCGTGCATGCGTATCACGTGTCACACATGCCGAGGGCTCGACATTTGTCCCCTCATTCCTCTATAAATATCACATTAAATGCAGTGTAGAGGGGCTTTTGGCTGACTTTATATAGCTCATATATGCTCGGGACTCTTTGACCTACTGGTCGCATATCACAGGCTTAGACGAATTATTGTAAGCGCGAAACCACCCTACCGAGAGGAAGTCCGAGTACCAAATAATATTAACCGACTCTATATTCGATAGCATTTACACTATCAGTATTGTTATAGAATACAAGTAAATGAAGCCTTTTGCAAGCACGGCTACTTGCTTCCACAAGTTTCTTTGGAATAAGTCACGACTTCCTTTTATAGACGAGTAGATGTCAGACAACATGACATGTGTCTAACCGTTCTTTTTATCCTTCCTCCTATAGTATGAACTCTTTTCGAGGTTGATATATTTCTTTTGCCTTAAAAGAGCATAGACTGGTTTTCTTAACACGTGGTATGTAAAGGAAATACACGTGGTTTAATCTTGTAGGCCGATTCTTGTCGTCCAACTCTTCCGACACAGATCCTTCCAATTCCACTTCTTCAGTTTGGGCTCTTTTCCTGACTGTGATCTTCTTCAGGTAGAATTTGAAAAACGGTTACGATTCACAACATCAAAAGTAGTTGTGGGGCCTACGAAATCTAATACAATTGGCTAGCATCATCAAAATCCACACAAAATTATTCCTAACATTAATGGATTAAAATCACAATTTTCTCTAATTCTTTTTAAATATTTGTATTTAAAAAAAATTAAAAATTTTAATACCACATTATTTTTAATTTTAATTAAATTATGAAAAAAAATATTGAGAATGATAAATATTGATAGTTAGTAATTTATTATATAATATTAAATTAAATAAATCGGACATTAATTTCAACGTCTAGCTTATATGCCCGGCCATGAGCGAATAGAAGAAGGATACATATTCTTGAAGGAGCTTAATTAGTGTTGTGTTCCTTGTGGGCGGGAGGAGCGTTAACGCGGTGATCGAAGGGGGTATGAATTTAAAGCCCTTTAAGGAAAAATGATTAATACCTTCTCGAATGCATTTTGTCGTTGACGAGGATAAGTTGTACGCCACCTTTGCTTCCAATTAAGACATACAAAAGCAACTCAGGCAATTAAGCATGAACGACACCCAGCAGGGACGACTTACCTCTTCTGGGATTCCCATTCATTCCTCTTCTTCCATTCCCTTTCATTCCCCTTCTTCTCCTTCTTCAGATATGGGAAGAATTTGCCTACTCGTCTTCACTGACGATTTTGTCTGCCGAAACCTCGTCTCCGAGGTGCTCCAACATTGCTCTTATGAAGGTACGACCTCGTATCGTACATATATCTCTTTGTTTGATAGATGTTAGGTCTTGATCGTCTTAGGTTTTGGTTGTTCTTGATCGTCTGTCTTTGTTTGATAGATGTTAGTCGTTAATTATTTTTAATTTGTTTGTTTCACTGTTTTTGCTTGTTTTTTTGCTCATCAGTGTTGCACATTGGAAGGGCTACGGATGCGTTAGGTGAGATTGGGAAGAGAAGAAATGGGATCAGTTTTGTTTTGACAAACTTAAACAGGTTAAAGACAAACGGGGCTGAGATTATCCAAACCATTGAGAAGGAACTCAATCTGGGTGTCTGTTGTAAGTTCCTTAATTTCTTCAAATTTTTTTTGTTCATCATTTCCTTAAACCCTAATATCATTTCCTTTTTGACAGTGATATTGCCGCCGAGCATGGAGTTCGACACCAAAGGCCAGGAGTGCAACGTTTCATCATACATTCTTAATTTTTCAGATATAAGAGAAATGAAAGCGCTGTGGCAATCAGCTTTTGAGAAGGAGAAAGTCAGAAAACCCTCAGCAATTAGAAGCCCAGTAATGGGTGTTGAGATTAGGATTGAAAATAATAATGAACCATCCGTTGATGGGGAACCTGGGAATTATAATGATCACCATAACCGGAGGGCGAAAGAGGTGAGAGAGAAACCGAATGAGGAAAGTGGTGGTGAGAAGAAAAAGAAGCCGAGGTTGAGCTGGAACCCGGAGATGCATCAGAGATTTGAGCAGGCAATCAACAAGTTGGGCATTGACAGTAAGACCAACATCTATCATATCCTGTTCTTCGTAAAACATATATAGCTATAGTTAATTTCTTGTCCATTAACTTTATGGTTCATTATTCTAACGTTGGTTAAATCGTATCCTTTGACAATCAGAGGCAGTTCCGAAGAAAATAGTCGAGTTAATGAACGAGCCAGGGTTGACAAGAGAGCATGTTGCCAGCCATTTGCAGGTCTGTGGATGTTATTCTTTAGCTCAAGAGTTAATTGAATTATGTTGCTCAACATTTTCTGCACACACTTCTCTACTCTCTTTATCAGTTTTTGTTTTTGTTTCTTGTTTATGTGCAATTTGTTTTGGTGTGCAACTGCCTTTGTTTTCCTGTTTCTGTTTGTTGAAAACAAAATTATATTTGAATTGGCTACCAGTGGATTATATTATTTGGCAACTTCATTAGGAGTTAATGTATCTGATGAGGTATGCATGAACTGTCTTAATTAAAAGAATCAATGAGTTTAATGGTAGGATCTTTAATTTGCCATCATGATACACATTGTTTGAATAGGGAGGTCGTCAATCGGGTCAGCTCGTTTAATTTCAGGCTAGCTAGCCCACTTATTGTCTTACCGGTTCGAGCATATTTTTAATTCATTAATAAAATTTGACAGTTGAAACACTTAAACTTCAAATTTTGAAGAAACTTAACTTGAACTTCCAGTTGAAACCTTCAACTATTGCAGTTGGATTTGGATGAAACTTTTATAGGAAAGTCGTTGGAGGGTTCTGAGTAGAATGAGAGAATTTAATTTTGTAAGAAAACTAATGTGATCGGATATGGTTACACGTGGGGCACGTAGTGGAGTCTCATTGCGAGTGAGAACACGTGAAGAGGATCTTGATAGCCATAAAAAATGAGTAGGGTTGTAAGGTTGTTTGAACTCATTGAGATGACTAGGAGGTTTAATTTTGTAAAGATAACATTAAAGAATGACTAGTTAAAAAAAAAAAAAAAAAACAAACAAACAAACAAACAAAAAATTGCCCAACTAAGAGTGTGAATATATAACGCTAATCACTTTTCACATATTACATGTCATTGAAAATGGTTATACGTGGAGGCATGTAGTGGAGTCCCATGGTGCGTGAGAGCACATGTAGAGGACTTTGATAGTCATAAAAAATGGGTAGGGCTGTTTGAGTTTACTAAGATGACTAGGAGATTTAATTTTTTAAAAATAACATTAAAGAATGACTAATTCTGAAAAAAAAAAAAAAACAAAAAACAACAGAAAACTTCCCAATTAACTAGGAGTGTCAATAATGCTAAGCACTTTTCACCTATTACATGTCATTGAAAATGACTACACGTGGAGACATGTAGTGGAGTCCCATGGCGCGTGAGAGCGCATGTAGAAGACTTTGATAGTCATAAAAAAATGGGTAGGGCTGTTTGATTTTACTAAGATGACTATGAGATTTAATTTTGTAAAAATAACATTAAAGAATGACTAATTTTGAAAAAAAAAAAAAAAAAAACATAAAACTTCCCAATTAACTAGGAGTGTCAATAATGCTAAGCACTTTTCACCTATTACATGTCATTGAAAATGGTTACACGTGGAGGCATGTAGCGGAGTCCCATGGCGCGTGAAGAAGAGTTTGATAACCGTACCATAAAAAATGGGAAGGGTTGTTTGGGCTTATTGAAATGACTAAAGATGTTTAATTTTGTAAAAATATCATTAAAGAATGACTAATTTTGAAAAAAAATAAAATATTGCCCAATTAACTAGGAGTGTGAATAATGCTAAGCGTTTTTCACCAATTACATGTCATTAGAAATGATTACAAGTGGATCGAAGGCACGTAGTTGAGCCCCGTGACACGTGAGAGCGCGTGAACAGGACTTTGATAGCCATAAAAATGGGTAGGGTTGTTTGAGCTTATTGAGATGACTAAGAGGTCGGTTTAATTTTGTTAAAATAACATTAAAGAATGACTAATTTTAAAAAATATAAAAATACAAAACTGCCCAACTAAGAGTGTGAATAATGCTAAATATTTTTCAACTATTACATATCATGGGAAATGGTTACACGTGGAGGCACGTAATGGAGCCTCGTGGCGTTTGAGAGCGCGTGAAGAGGAATTTGATAGCCATAAAAAAATGGGCAGGGTTGTTTGAGCTTATAGATATTACTAGGAGATTTAATTTTGTAAAAATAACATTAAATGAATGATTAATGTTTTTTTATTAAAAAAAAAAACAACAAAAACAAAAAATTGCCAAGTAAGAGTGTAAATAATGCTAATTAGTAATCACTTTTCACCTCTTACATGAAAAAAATCAGGCCAGTATGTCTTGATAGCATGTTTAATTCAAAGAATTAATGCAGCAAATTTTTATTTCATTATATAAAACTAGAGTGAGTACACACACACACAATATATATATATATATATATATATATATATATATATATATATATTACAAAAAGGCTCATAAGATAGCCAATTTAGGAAAAACTCACAACTTTTCAATCATATGCTTGTTTGTTGATGAATTTCCTCACATTTTTTCAATACTCCCATTAACTTGGAGTAACATATGCTCCAAGTTTGTTACAAACTTGACTGAATTGACTTTTAATTTGTTACTCACAGGACATCCTTGATTCACAGGACATCCTTAATTCCTTAGCTTGAACATATTTGAGCAAAAGTGTAAACACTTGAACATCAACGAAGCTTTTGAAAAACTTTAAATTTCAAATTCTGAATAAACTTGAACTTGCATTATTTAAAACCTTCAACCATTGCAATTGGACTTGGATAAAACTTTTATAGGAAAATCGTTGGAGGTTGTGAATAGAATCGGAGAATTTTGTAAGAAAATATCATCAGAGATGGTTACACATGAAGGCACGTAGTGAAGTCCCATGACGCGTGAAGAAGATTATGATAGTGAGAAAAAAATGAATAGTAATTTTTTTTTTTTTTTTTTGTAAAAAAGAAATCATCATGTTGATATTATGTTTCCTTTTAGTTGGACTTGAATGAAACTTTTATAGGAAACCATTTGAGGGTTGTGAGTAAAATACAGGAGAATTTTGTAAGAAAATGTCATCGGTGATGGTACACGTGGAGGCACGTAGTGAAGTCCCGTAGCGTGTGAGAGCGTGTGAAGAGGATTTTGATAGCTATAAAAAAAATTGGTAGGGTTATCCGAGCTTATTGAGATGACTAGAAGGTTTAATTTTGTAAAACAACATTAAAGAATGACTAATTTTGAAAAAAATAGAAAACATGTAGAAGAGCCCCGTGGCGCGTGAGAGCACGTGAATAGGACTTTGAAAGTCAGAAAAAAACAAAAAAGTAGGATTATTTGAGCTTATTGAGGTGACTAGCTAGGATGTTTAATTTTTTAAAAATAGCGGGCATTAAAGAATGAATAATTTTGATAAAACAGAAAACTGTATTAGGAGTACAGTGTGAATAATGCTAAGCACTTTTCACCTATTACATGAAAAAATCAAGTTAGGATGGCTTGATAGTATGTTGAATTCAAAGAATAATAGGAGCATATTTTTATTTCATTAATTATATAAAACTAGAGTGAACACATATTGATACTTAGTACAAAAGGCTCATACATAAGATACATACCCAATTTAGGACAGTGCTAATGTAAATAGGTAATTTTGTGTAAATGTCAGCTGGTGTAATTTTGTGTTCTCCAAATCATACTGTAATATTTTTGTTTTTTATAAATATCATCTTGATATTATGTTTCCTTTAATTTTAATTATTTATTTTGCAGAAATATCGTATGAATTTGAAAAAAGGCCAAGATTGCTCATCAAGTGATGTTACAAAGCCATTCTTTGGTTCATGGCCTTCTGTCCTAAACATCAATAATCCTTCCCAAACATATCCATTCCCCTTTGAAAGAAACACTTCATCATCATCTTCAGTGTTTTCTACTCCTCTCCTCGGCCAATCCTACCTAAACCCCAACATCTCAACAACCTTAACACCACCACTTATGTTTCCATCTAACAATCTGCAGGGGCCCCTGAACCTTATTTCCCCCCCACAATCATCTTTCGATACAAATCGGGTTATGAACCGGAATGGGGAGATGGAGTTCCAGTCAAGTTCTGTTCCCAAAACACCCATAACCAGTGAGTTGGGAGTGTCTGGTATAGGTGATGAGAAAAACAAGATGGTTTATTCTGGCATTATTGAAAATGGGCATTATTCATCTGGTAGTAGTAGTGTTTCCATGAGCCAGCCGCTAGCAGGGATAGCAACGGGGCGGGACGGGGGCGGGGAATATACTCCCACTCCCTGTCCCTGTCCCAGTCCCCGCGACCCCGTCCCCATCCCCAGGTTTCTTGGTCTTAGAGTGGTGAATGATGAGCTCAAGTTTGGTGAAAGTTGTGGAGAGACCCATAGAGAAAGTTCATCATTCACAGCTGATTGGACTTCTTCTGGGAATAATAATAACAATAATGCAGATTCTGCAGTTCCATTCTTGGAAACCTCTACGGATCAAAGCGTGAACTACTATTCTGACACAATATTATCTCCTCCAGGCACCTTCATTCCCCAACACCAACCTTCATTTCCAGCTTTTTCTTCTTCTCCCTACACAGAAACCAATTCTCTTCTGCAGGGATTTTCCACCCAAGAAATTAACACAAATTTTGTTTTTCTGCCATTGCCTGGAAGCTCTGAGAATTTGAGCTCGAAACAGATGGAATCGTCGTCTTCTTTATCGGTGCCACCTGCAGTGATTGAAATAAATAGCTACGGCGGTGAAGAAGACATCAGCGCGCTGTTGGATGCAGCTGATAATGATACGGCAAATAATCCAGAAGAGGGGCAATGGGATGATGATTTTAGTGATATACTATTTGGCATCACAAAATGACTTTACATTAAAGCCTGTCTGTTATAATCAGGATATATATATAGGATCGATATAGATCAGAGAAAGAAACATTGTTAGGTAGACATGACAGATTGATTATATTATATATACTGTTTGTAACAAGAAAGGAGCTGTCTTCCGGGGAGGATTTTGAACATATTTCTTGTGTTTCAACTGCCATTGTATTGTCCCATTGAGGATTATCTCTGATATGATATGTTTACATCTGATCTTTAGCAGATATTGAACTCAAAGTAAGAAATTTGTGATCTTTGCATTAACACAAATTTAGTACCATTTGATGTGTCAAGTTTGGTTAACTAGGTTTGGTAGGAGTTATTTTTAATTTAATTTTTTTTATAATATTAAATTTAGTATTATTATATAAATTTTATATATTTAAAAATTAAATTAAGAACACGTTTGATAGTCAGGAAATTAAAGTTCAAACTTTTCTGAGAATTTAAAAGGTTAGAAAGTTATTTTCAGGTTTGGTGTAATTTTTGACTTATTAAAGTTTGAGTCCTTCATTTTACTCTATATATCTATTGTTGTGTATTTCATTTAATAAGTCAAACCATCCTTTTTTTGGTGCATATGCGGCAAGAGTATCCACCTCTAGGTGATTCTCCGAGCTAGACACGCTCTCCCAGTGTCCCGCCGGAGAAGAGTATCATATCAATGACATTTGGAGGGTCTTTCAGAATCGTCGTGCGTACCCCATCTCCAGTCCTGTCCCTATTAGCCAATAAATCAAGGCATTTATTTATTTCTCGAGTCCTGCCTCATATTAGCTAATAAATCAACGCATTTATTTCCTTCAGGAAGCACATGCTGGAATCTCACCATATCCAA